ATCTGGTGGTTTTGACATTTCTCTGATCTGTCTGATGTTGAACCTCTTGTGTGCTTATTGGTCATATGCCCCATTTTTACAAGAGCACATTACTTTGTGGTTCTTTCTTAGTTTGTCTCTTCCAACTAGAATTGTTGGGAGTTTGTTTTTTTTTTTAATCTTTGTAATGAACTTGACTACCAGTACATTGCCTTTATATTAGTAGGTGCTCTGTACAAATGTCTGTTGTGTTAATTAAACCAATAACTTAAGAGAAAAGTGAGGAAAAATACTGTCGTTGTATAGGAAATTGATGGCTTTGGAAACTGGTTAAAGTATTAACCTCCTCCTACGCTCCCCATCCCTAATCAGTCTTTTATTTAAACATTGTGGATAACAGTTTTTATCTCTACCAGATTAATATGTTGCCCAGATACTTTAGATGCAGAAGAATGGTTAAATTTTCTTTGATGACAAAGTCATTATTTGTACCATTTCTTCTCTAGTATAGTGAGACATGTAGGGTTTATTGGGTTTTATGAGCCTTTTTTGCTTCTCCAGATGGTCATAGTGTGTGTGCTTTAAAATATTTCATTTGAAAAAGGAAACTGCATCTTTTTCTAGGTAATATATGATTGTTTTTAAAATTAAAAAGAGAAAATCCTATTCCCACATCCATACCTGTGTTCACTCATCAAATTCTTCCAGAGAGAACCATTTTATAGATCTTTCCAAATCTTTTATTCATTCAAACATACTTGAAGAAATGGAAAACAACATAACAAAAAACCCAAGGTTGTACGTACGCGTGGAGAAATTTCAAACAATGTTATTTAAAGAAGAAAATGGGTCCTTTCTCTAGAGGTGTTTGCTGCTCTCAGGTTTCAAATGTGTCCTTCAGGGACATTTGTGTCCAGAGCTACAAGCATGTAACACCATCGTTAAACATACGTGGGTGTGTTTTACATGCTGTTTTCTAAGTCGCTTTTTTTTCTCTTCTCAGTATAACGTGAATATCTTTTCATGTCTCTATAAAAATAGTTGGTCATTGAGTCAGTATTTGTAAGCAGCTGTCACGTATCAGACACTGCATGTGTGGTGGCAAATCAAACACGTGGAGCTCCTTGGACGTTCTGGTTACCCTCTTAAAAGACCTCTGTTTCAGCGTGTTGGATGTGCCATAATCCATCCTCTACTGATGAAAAATTACGCTGTTGACAGTTTTCTGCTATTGTGAACAACTTTGTTTTGAACATTCTCTTATAATTCATTTTTTCTATTTCCACTTATTTCCTTAGGAAGAAACCCAAGAAAGTAAATTTTACAAAGTATAAACACAATACATCTTGATCACTGTTGCCCTCCAGAAATACTCTGCCAATTTACATTTACACTTTTTTATTGAAGTATAACTGAAATGCAATGTCAATTTCAGGTGGACAACACGGTGATTTGATGTTTATACACATTGTGAAATGATTACCATATAAATCTTGTTACCATCTGTCACCATACAAAGTTAATACATTATTGACTATATTCTGTGTCCCCATGGATTTATTTTATGTATAAACCATTTCTACTCTCAACTTAAATCATTTTAAGAGAGCCTGGCCCCTTGCCCCTGTACTGCTAACCAGTCTGAGAGGAGGAAAATAATTATGTTGATATTTTATTCATTTCTTGTTTCCAGGGGTAGTTTATATTTAACTCTTCAGTCTTCTTTTAAATGGCACATAAATGACAGAAGATGTTTTATGTTCGGCTTATGGATATGACCCATCCTGACGAACAGTTAGCTTCCCTGTCTCTTCCCTGGGTTTTCTTGCTGTATTTTCCAGTTTTATGGAGATAGGACATGTTGTGTAAGTTTAAGCTATACAACATAATGACTTGATATTTATGCATTTATTTTATTCATGTGAATAAGCATTATCTTGTCATAGGGCCATTGATTTCCATGTTGCTAAACCACGCATTGCTTCACTCCTCCTTCTCTCCTTTGATGTTGACCAGCCTTTGCATCATGCCCGCATCTTTGTTCTCTTGAACGGTAACACACATTTGTTTTCCCCAGACCTACCACCTTATCCTTTGTCAGACCTCTTAGTGACTGCCTCAGACTTGATCATTGCTCTTGTCCCCGTCTTCATTCTGTCAAGTACATCTGGATGGCAGTGATTTCCAAATTCATGTCTCCAGCCTCAAACTTTCCAGTGAGCGCCAGACCCATGCCTGAATGTCTCCTTGATATCTTCACTTGGATGTCTAAGAGGGGAATCCACATGAACACTGTGAATCTCCCTTTCCCTGCCTCCAAAAAACCTCCCAAACCAAGAAACAAAACAAAAAACAGTTCTCCTTCTCCAGGGATTTGCATCTTGTTAAAGCCAGAAACATAAGTACATTTTTTTATTGTTTTGGTCTTGCTTACCTTCCTTCTCCCCATATCTGTCTCTGTGTTGCTGTGTTTTGAATCTGTCCTCCTTTCTATTCTGGGCCGAACTGGGCTCTTCCTGCCTTGGGACTTCTGCATTATTTGCATTGCTCTGTGCCTCCTGCTGTTTGGCCACTTCCTCAGAGGGGTTCCCTGTCCACCCCAAACCACAGGAAGGCCTCCTAGTCACTGTTACGTCGCTCTTCTGTTTTCTACACAGAATTTATTACTCTCTGAGAATGTCTTGTATATTCATTTCTCTCTCTTCTTTGAAAACTTAGTTTCTGTGGTAGCAGGGTCTTGGCTTTTTGGTTTACTGCCGTGTCCTTACTCTTCAGAGCAGTGATGCAGTAACTATGTAGTAAAATAATTTGTGTGGATTGCTCGTTAATATCCCATATATATATTTTAACCACTTTTAGTGACTTCTAAGAGCTCCTTAGAATCAAAGCTATTAATTCTTATGTTATAAACGTGGTCTCTGATTTCTCTCTTACAATTTGTCATCTTATTTGTTGCAGCTGTTGTGGAACAGGAAATGAAAAAGGACTGGCTTTTTGCTCCTCATTATCGATACTATGTAAGAGAAATGAGAATTCATGCATACAGCCAGCTGCTGGAATCCTATAGGTCATTAACTCTTGGCTATATGGCAGAAGCCTTTGGTGTTGGTGTGGAATTCATTGATCAGTAAGTTTAACAATTATGTTAATATAGATCCCTTGAAGTTATGTGTCAACTTGTACATTTTCTCAATGGACATTGCTTCCCTCAATTGTAAAAAAAGTGAGTTTTTCTCTAAATATTATCAAGTTGTGGAGAGGTTACGTGATTTTGCGAAAGGTTGTTAGGACCAGTTATTACTACAACAGTATTGTGTTCCTTCTCTGTGGACTACGTTGCTGCTATAGTAATGACTCTGATGCCTTTCTTAGACCTCACATTAAGATCCTACTTTCTCTGCTAATGCCTCAGGTTTTTTGGCTACTGCTGCTATTCCGGTCACATTAGTTGTTAAAAATGGGACTTTTAGCCCTTGAATCAGTGATTCATCAGATACTTGCTAAGCCTTTATGCTATGGTTGGCACTGTTCCAGGTCCTTGTCGTTATGGACTTTAATACTCTT